GGCGCTCACATACCCGTTGCAGCAGTTGAGGACCGCGACACGCTCATTGATGAGGTTGACACTGGGTCGCAAGCAGCAGAGTCCTCGTCGTCATCCCATACCATGCGAGCTGTTTATTTGCATCATTTGGAAGATCCAGTCGTTTTTGGCCGTATTGACTGGACTGACTATGATTGCATGATGGCAGATGCTGCAAGACTCATGAATGTGGAAGTTGACGACATTGTTGCACTTTATGAGATCAATGTCCAGCTTCCTGACCTTCCTGATGATGTTACCCCTTTGATCGTCCATCTGGAAGCAGACATGGAACCAGGAGAACCTAGCCGTCTTTGCTTGGTTGACTATGAGATGCACGGAAATACATTGGAGGCTCACTATCAGACTGCCCCGGTGGTTGACCGGAGAGTGCTGGTCACCCCAATTCCTGCCTCAATGCAAGCCATCTTCGTACGTGCTGGAGTCGATGTCTACTGTCATCTGGAAGATGATCGATGTCTTCTTTTTCACAATCATCAACCAGTTCTTTCACAGCATCATCCTTTACTACGACCTACACATGGTGATTACCTCAAGCTCGTGGTTCCTCCATCACTGTATTGTGATGAGCCCACACAGCCGCTTCTGGCCCGGCGACAACAGCATAACGAGCTCACCTTTGGCAATTCCCCCAGTTGGTCCGAAAGTTCTGGATACTCGCCCAGCCTGCTTGATCCTTCGGAACTTCGTGCACAACTTGGAATCCAAGATCCTGCGGACATTGCACTGTTGCAAATTTCAGTTGACTTGAATACGGTTGAGACCTTGGGTGCTATTTGTCGGCAACCATTGTGCCTACCACCCCAGTTGGAGAATACTCAGTCATCTGATCGCATATGTCCTGTACCACACTCCAAATTTAGCTTTACGGAGGAGTTCCTCAGAGCCGTCAATGCCATGAGCACCGCCGCAGAAAACTTGCCAGAATTTCAAGAAGATGCTTTTGAGTTGGACACTTTGGCTCCCTGGGTACAAGAGCTGCATGAGCATTGGGATCGCTTGGCCACCATCGGCCCGGGAGCTGTCGAACGCCTTGGTCGCTTAGAGACCTGGTTCACTGACCATCTGAGTTACCAGAGATGCCACCACACTCGCATCGCTATTCTTGTCCGGATGCTCATCGATGGGAGGACCAAATCAAGCACCTCTGGCGCCAACACATCCTCCCCGGAGCTACAGTTGAGTTTCACATTGTGTATCCGCTGCCGGAGGACGCATCCGGTCAGATCATTGGCCAACTCATTGTGGTGCAACGCCCCCAGAGGTTCCAACGTTCCATTGTGCTGTCTATTTATGATAGCGAGTACGACCGCGGCCTTGCACATTCACTGGCGATGGTGATGGGTGACCGCATTGACCTCCTGTCGGTGATGATTATGGCGGAACTGACTGAGGAGTGTCCCCCTGAGGCGTCCCGCAATGAATGTTCGCTCTGGTTCGGGGCTCGGCAGTTCGCTCCCAATGAACGTGCCTATGCACGCCATGGTCATGCATTCAGGCTTGTGTTGAATCGCGCTCAAGGGCCCCCACCTCCAAGGCCTGTGGTCACCAATCTGGCACAACGCCAGGCACAACTGGCTCAAAATTCGGCTTCTCCACCATTTTTGGGCGCAGAGGAAGCAGCACCTACTTGGTTGGTTGAAATGTCGCGAGCCTTTCCTGACGGAGCGGCAGTGGAACGAGAAGATGAAGGGCCCGTTGCATATCTTACCACTTGGTTTCTTCATGTTGCCCTTCGGCCTAGCTGCGTGCAAAACAGAGTTGTGCGTCTCAGAGACCAACCTTGGATGTGGCATCGGACATTGATTGAACGCTGGGGAGATCACTTTGATAGCACACTTCCCGTTCAATTCTTTTGGGTTGCACCTATGCCTCCTTCCTCATTGACGCAGCATACCCTTGGTCATGTGTTGATTGCGCAGGGACTCCCAGTGGACCAAGTTGCTGCGTTGCTCACCACGCGTGTGCGTGATGATGAAGGCCAAGCCCTACACCATGTTGCTACATTTTTGCCCGCCCATGTCTCGGCAGAAATGGTCGTCGAAATTTTGGAGCTTCCCGGGCCTCTTCGGCGATTCCCTCGTAGAGTAGGATTTGGACAAGAATACTTTGCTCCGCATGCCTTGCAGCAGATCCAATCTGGAAGCTCCATTGTTGTGGATGTCTTGGGAAGTCAACGATTCGCCCAACCTTCTACATCATCGACTGATGAGGCACTCAACTTGGTTCAGATCAAGGTTCGCTGTACCCAGGCACCTCATCCTGAAGAGCTTCCACCTCTTGAGACAGCTGCTGCTGAGCCTGCAGTGCCTATGCAAGAACCAGCAGAAGCTTTTCAGCCAAGGGTCACGTTGAACCTGACTGCTTGCTTGGCTGACAACTTCGTGTACAAGGAAGAACAGTATTCCTTTCCTGAAGTGGCTTACATGCAGGTCCCCAATTGGCCATCCTTCTTTGCCAGAGTATTGCCCTCTCCGACTTTCATACCGGAGGGCCTCAAGCTGCACCCTTCCACTTACTTCGCTCTTGCGTCCCCAGCAGAATTTCAAGAAGTTTCTCTGTGTGACTGCATAGCTTTGTACGTTGATGGTGCGGCGGATGGCATCAAGGCCGCGTGGAGCATCGTCGTTGTCCATTTTGACTCAGATGGTTTGCCGTCTCTTCAAGGGTGCATTGCTGATCAAGTCGTGATTGACACCACGCATGACAAGTGGCTTGGCGCCAATTGCCCTGACAACATTGCCGCAGAGGTGACTGCAGCTTGTGCTGCCATGGCTGCGTGCTTAGGGATGGAACAACACCTCCACATTGTCATTCGACCAGATTTGAAGCTCAGCGCCAAACTGGCTACCCATCAGTGGGGTTGCACAGCACATCCCCTTCTTTGCCAATTGTGTGAAACGCTTGGAAGTTGGTTCAAAAAATGCCGCGGCACTTTTCTTGAAGTCCGAGGGCATTGCGGAGATCCTTGGAATGAGTTGGCAGATGGTGTTGCGAAACATTGTATGGAAGTTGGACAAGCAGTTGGAGTTTTGGACCTGACAGGGTATTCAGCCTTGCTTAAGACCCCAGATCTGAACTGGGCCTGGCTCCTTGATGCGCCCACTACCTTGCATCAATGTCTTCCACCCGGCTCTCACCACGGAGTGTGGCAAGTTCAACCGAGCACTTTGCGTGTGCCCTTATCTGAACCGCATCACCCAGCTGAGCAATGGAAACAATTGGATTTTCTTTGTATGACTGCCAATGTCCTTGCTCTTGGCTCTGTTGATGCTGACATGCCCACTTCCTCCAGCTCCGAACGTGCACTCCGCTTAGCCCACCAATGGCATCAAGATGGTATTCACGTGGCAGGACTTCAGGAGACCCGCCGCGACGTTGGCACATACACTGCTGGCAACTACAAGTGTTTTGCTTCAGGAGCTCAACGTTGCAGTCGTGCGCAGCATTTTGGCTGTGAATTATGGATCCATCAACATTTGGTCCTCGTTCCTGACCTCCAGCTGAAATTTGTCGACTTCCAAGCGGTTGTTACCCATGCAGATCCCAGGCGCCTGATTGTCAATTTGACACATGGACAATGTCGTCTTTCCTTCATTGTCCTGCACGTGCCATGTAAAACTTCTCAATGTGATCTCGAAGAAATCCATCAGTGGTGGACTGAAACCCAGGCAGCAGTGCGCAAGGCTGACATTGCTCCCCTGACTTGGATTTTTATTGATGCAAACGCCCCACTGGCTTCGCATGAGACCACGTTGTTCTCTACCCATGGTGCTGAACCTACAAATGGCCCTGGCGAACTTTTTGAAGCTGCTCTCACCGAATTTCAGTGGTATGCTCCGACCACTATGGCTCGGTGCCACACAGGAGCTCATCACACATGGACCCATCCGCGAGGAGCCAAGTCTCGACGTGATTATATTTTGACTTCAGCCGCAGCACATTCTCTTTCTAGTCAGACGTGGGTCGCTCAGAAACATGATGGAGGCTTCAGTCATGAAGATCATCTTCCTGTCTGCCTGCATGCTTGTGGATGGATTGTCATTGACCCTGTCACTGATCGAGTGCAATGGGATTCCCTCGCTTTCTTAGATCCTGTCAAATGCCAGCAGTTTCAAGAAGCTTTGGAGACATTACCCATTCCAGCCTGGCCAGTTCATGTGGATGCGCATGCTGACCAATTTGAATCCAATCTCCTTGACTTGGCCAAGCAGTTCTTCACCAAAACCAAACATGATCGAGTACGGCCTCGCCTCCGTGAATCCACACGCAATTTGATCGCACTCAAACGATCTTGCCTTGATTACGGACGTCAAAACGATCTCATGCACACTGAAGACTTCAAAGCCCAATTGAAGCTCTTGGAGAAGGACGTTCGCCGACAAGTTCATCTTGATCAACAGATCTTCTACGATGACCTCGTTCAACACATGGCGGCCGCAGGTGATCTCCATGATGCTCGTACGGTTTATCGTACTTTGACTCGACTTGGCGCCAAGAAGGGGCACAAACAACCCATTCGCTCTCTTCCTGCCCTTCAAGCTGAAGGCGGCCCAGTCACCTCTTTTACACAGCAACAACAGCTCTGGCTCAAACAGTTCGCGGAGGTTGAGGCTGGTTACATTGTCGCCAGGTCAGAATTTTGGCGTGGCTTGCCACCTACTTTGGGCATTTCTCCTAGTGACTTTGCCCTCGAAGTTCTGCCTACTCTCGCAGAGGTTCAAAAGCAGCTGCACAAGCTCAAGCGTGGCAAAGCCCCTGGTCCGGACAATATCCCACCTGACATATTGAAAGCAGGAGGCGAACCATTGGCTAAACATTTGACGATCTTGACTTCCAAGATTGCTATGCAAGCTCGCGAGCCAGCGGCTTGGCGGACTGGAAGACTTATTCCCCTTCACAAGGGAAAGCTTCCTCGGGATGACCCTAAGGGGTACCGCTCCATCTTCCTCAACAATTACACCACCAAGATTTATCATGCCATTTTACGACAGCAGCTGGTGGCCTCATGGACTTCCGTGCTCTCGCACATCCAGTTTGGCGGACGCAAAGGCGTTGGCAGTGATTCTGCCCACCATATTGTGCAGTCGCATTTGGCACAGGCGGCTCTTCGCAAAATCCCTTCAGCTGCGCTGTTTGTGGATCTCAGAGCTGCCTTTTACAGTGTGATCAGACAGGGCCTTTTTGACCAACCGTTGGACGAGACAGGCTTTGTCTGCGCAATGCATCGACTTGGCGTACATCCTCAACACATTTCTGACCTTTTGACCACTGCTCAGAACGATGTTGCCATTCCGAATTTGGCTTCTCATGCCGTTTCTTTGCTGAAGGACTTGTTACAGTCCACATGCTTCGAAATCTCCGGCATTTCCGAGGTAGCAGTCACAACCAGGGGCACTCGACCTGGTGATCCCATTGGCGATGCTGCCTTCAATTTGACCATGGCCCTTATCCTCCGCGATGTGACTCTGGACATGCGCAAGTCTGATGCAAGTTGGATGGGGGATTTTACCCCAGTCGATGATTTTACCATCAGCAATGATCTTCCTGTTTCTTCTTGGGCGGAAGTAGCATACTTTGATGACCTTGCCATCTTGCTTGCTGCTCCAGACAATGACCATTTGATCACTTTGGCCGAGTGCTCTCTCTCTGCCATCCATTGTGCTGCCAGCAAAAGAGGCCTTGATCTTACGTACGGAGCGGGCAAAACTGAGCTCTTAATGGCATGGCGTGGAGCCCGCACTAGGCATTTCAAAGAGAAGGTTGCAGCTCGAGGCGGTAAGTGGACCGTGCACGAGGAGGCCACAGATACTCTCCTGACAGTGCCCGTTGTCATGGCTTACAAACATTTGGGAACGTGGATTCACAATGATGCGAAGCCGTTACATGCCATCCGTGACCGCATCACCGCTGCACGCAAAGCCTGGGGACCCTTGTGTCGACCCTTTCTCAACAAACAAGGCGTTGCTCAACGTACCAAGATCCAAGTGTTCAACGCACTGGTTATGAGTAGATTCTTGTATAACGCTCATACCTGGAGCTGGCTCACTGATGAGTGGCTTTCTACTTGGGAAGCAGGTTTGCGACCCATGTTGTATTCCCTTGCTCGACCAGAATTGCGTGGACAGCCACCGTTTTCATGCTCAGTTGAGACTTTGTGTGGCCTTTGTGGAATCCTACCCCCTCGTGCCCAACTTCACCTTGCTCGGCTTCGCTATTTGAAGCGCATGCTTTTACAGTGCCCTGACGTGCACTGGCGAGCTCTTGCACAGGTGCGAAATGAAGCAGGATCATGGATGTGCCTTCTGCACGAATCCTTTGCCTGGTTGGCGCGATTTAGCCATCGCCATTTTGGCCTCACCTCCGATTCTACGTGGATTGATTGGGTCACAGTTGTTCAACTTGACTCACGATGGAAGGGCCATTTACGCCGAGCCGAACGAGCCTGCAGAGCCTACCATCAGGCCAATGCGCACACCGTGATCTGGCAGATGTGGATCCAGCAATCTTTTCGGCACTTTGGGGTTGTGCCTTTTGATGCTGAACCTGAGGCCTCCTCAATAAGCTGGACTTGCGAACTTTGTGATCAAACGTTTTCATCCAAACGAGCCTTGGCCATGCACGCCGTTCAGATGCATGACTACCAAACCATTGTCAAGCATTACGCAACAGATGGTACGTGCGCAAATTGTGGCCGACTATATCATTGCCGAGCCCGACTTTGCGCCCACCTTCGACACTCTACAGAATGCCTTCGCCGTATTCGTGCAGTCTTTCCTGCGCTGGCGGACGACGAGTTGGAGGCACTCAATGAGAGCGACCGTCAGCTTGCGCGGGAGATGCGGCAGCTTGGCTGGTTGCCGACCAAAGCATGCATCCCAGCCACCCGTGCCTTTGGACCTCATCTACCTCCTGCGCACTCCTCGGCAGCCGCCGCGATGATGCAGAAGTGGAAGCAGCGCAAAGAGGTTACTGGCAGCCTCCGATTTGAAGGCTTAGCTGGCATTTGCACGCAGATTGACACCCAGGAGATGTTGCCTCATTCTTCTTCTGACGTCTCTGCGGCCTCTTCTGAGCTTTGCTTCATTATGCATTCTGTTAAAGGTGAAGAACACGGACACCATGGATGCTTTTCAATGGCGGGTCTTTCGAGACTTTATGCACAGTTACATTTGAAGACGCTTTGCTTCATCCATTTTTTCTCTGGCTACCGCCGTGAAGGTGATTTACAACACCAGATCGAAAATCACATCGTTCAGGGTCACTTTCACATTTTCTGCATTAGCGTGGATTTCTGTCTCCAAGGAGATTGCTGCGACCTGACTACGTCGAACAGCAGAATCTTTTGGACCAAGCAGCTTCAAAGTGGTGCTGTTTTTGGAGTGGGAGGGGGACCACCGTGCGAGTCTTACTCGGCCGCCAGACTGATTTCTGGCGGGCCGCCTCCCCTCCGCAGCTACGATGAACTGAATGGTTTGCCCTGCAATAGTGCTCGGCAATGGCAACAAACGCTTTTGGGTACAGCCCTTATGCAGTTTATGATCGAGATGTGTTTTTGGTGTGCTGTCACCGGCGGCTGTTCCTTCCTTGAGCACCCGGCCTTTCCGGTGTGGGCTTGCCGATCTCGGCCAGCGAGCACTTGGTCGTCGATGGCAATGAGATGGATGAAAAGACTGCATTGCGTTACTTTTGTAACGTTTGACCAATGTATCTTCCATTGTGCAGGAATGAAACCCACCACCTTGATGCTCGTACGACTTCCGTGGCTGCGATGTCAAATTCAAGCGCTAGGTAGGGTAGGTAGATGCCCTCACCCGAAGGGCACCCATATTTCCCTGCAGGGCAGGGATGCAGCAGGGCAGTTTCGTACTTCTATTGCCAAGATTTACCCTGCTGCAATGAATGCAGCCATTGCACACGCAGTAAGCGTTTTTGTGCAGCAGACTTTTGTTGACCAGGCTCCTCCTCCTGAGGCAGTGGACGCAGAGCTGGTCGCCCTCAATCGGTTGGATTTTGTCTCAAAGGACGTTGTGCAGCCTGACGTCTATTTTGAGTAGCACAGTTCCGGTTGAGAGTTGCATGTTTCCAAGCAGTGACTTCTGCAGCATATGGAAAGGAAAAGGATGATTTCAAGATTTCGGATTGGAGATGGCAGGTTTCTTTTTGGGGTTCTGTGTGAGTGTCCAAAGTGGGTTTTCAGGAAACCCACAGACTCGACACAATTATCACCTCTTCGCCTGGCAGCTCCTGGTTTTCTGCCATTTTCTTCCCATTGCCCAGTTTCATAGACTTACTTTGTTGAACAAATCCATAGAATTAGAAAAAATGTGCAGAAGTACAGGAGACTGGGGGTGTTTGGTTTCCAGAAGTGAAGCGTGGAAACTTGAGGTGGAACATGTTAGACTGATGCACAAGTTGAAGATGAACAATTCGTAGGCAGCACAGTGTCAACGTGACCACGATAGGTCCCATTCCGCACCCAGTTGCTGTAGCAAAGCCAGATTGGCCGCTCTTCATGGTTCTTCTGGCCCCCCCCAAAGATACTCTTTCTTGTGGCTTATATATGCTTACAGGAACCCAACCCTTTCCAGTCTTTGGAGGCAGTGGTCCTAGAAAAATCCTTGCAGCTTGCGTCTAACATATGCAACTCCAAAAGAACTCATCATTACCATTCATCAACCCTCAAAATTCCATCCAAATCATCCAGTTCCCCTCATTTTTCTCGATGTTTCCCCAATTTCCCGGTGTTTCCCCCATTTTTCTCCCATTTTTCCCCCACTTGTCCCATTTTTCCATACTTTTCCCACAGATTCCCCGGTGTTTCCATTGCGAATCTCGGCGTGGCCACCAGGCGCTGCTGGAAGAGTTGGAGGAGCAGCTGGGCGCCACGAGCCGGGAGGCTACGGAGCTGAAGCTCCAGGACTTGGAGAGCGATCTGCGGGTGACCTTCCAGACCCTTGGGTGGCTCCAGGACTTGGCTTTTGAATTCAATGGGAATTTCAGGATCCTAAAATGGTAGGTACCTCCAATTTAGGTTCCTGGAATGGCCATTGATTTGAATGGGTTTGTTTCATGGCTTTTGGGATTTTGGATGACTTAAAGACCGGATCGAGACCAGATCTGGGGGGTGTTTTTGAGGTGTTTTAAAGAAACGATTTCTGCGGAAAAGTCTCTCCAGGCATTGCCGAAAAACCAACGCGGTGCGTTGGAAGCTCCATCTGCACGATATGCCCTGCATAGGTGCGGTAGCCGTTGTTGGGCTGGGTGTTCCTATAGTATGGGCCTGGGTATTAGTTATATATAAAGAGATCTCTAAACACATAGGGAAATTTTGGTGGACACGTCATCTATAACATCGCGCGCGCACGCGTTTCTAGGTTAAAGTCCCCCCATAAATAAATGGCCTCAAACCTGGTCCACAAATGTTTAAAAAAAGGGGTTGTTTGAAAATAGGGCACCCCCATACCATCCAATGGTTATTTTTTTTAACCATTAAAACAACATAAACAACCATTTTAGGTATAGCACATTTCTAGACACATCTGGATGATGTTGGTATTTTCTTTTGTCCCCGTTTTTTTCCCCAAGGGGTTCACGGCCCATGTCTATAGGTGCCGGCTCTAATGGTAGGTTTCGGATGGAACAAAACAGCACGAACAAAACTGCTGGTTGATCAGATGATTTTTGAACGAGAATAGTTATGTTATGCTTCATTCCACGATATTCTCACATGGAAATGACGCCTCTCCAAACTAAATCCCTTCCCCCCAAGATTAAGAAAAACATCAGACATGATGGTTTAATGTTTGAATCTGTTTATGTTCAAGAGTGCGTGTGTGAGAGTTTGTCAGTGCAGTAAGGGGGTGCGATTTATCAGCTGGCTGGTCATTCTGGTTGAATTGTGGAAATGATACCATTGCCAGATGGCAAAACTAAATACTACTTGGTAACAACCATTTATTGATTATTTATACGATCATTGTGAATCATATCATATATATATATCATTGATGGATTGTTCTCCAACCATTATCACACATCATGTTGCCCTATTTTTGCTCTGGATAAATCAAAGCGACCTCACTGCGTCCTCGCTGGAATGATAGTAACTAGCAGGGGTAACTATCCATCCCCATCTAGGTTAGTGAATAACTGTAGTTGATCAAGATCCATTGGTTGTATTCTATCATATTCCCATTGAAAGATTATATATATATATATACATATTTATTGAATATAGTTATATCCCCATCATGTCACAATAATATCGGTAAACCATGGTTTTCACATACATTCCGATGTGAAAACCATTGGTTTGCCGTTTGGAAAATGATCAAAAAATCTCGACCTTCCTGGGGCTTCCTGGGGCTTCCTGGGGGCTTCCTGGGATCTCGACCCGGTGACCCGGGCGAGGCTTTTCAACAAGCGCCATGGCTGGCAAATCAAAGGACTGGAAACTGCTGGAGGCGTGACGGATGCTGGCGAGTTCACCCTGGTTGCCCCTCACTCTTCATGTGGAGCCAGCAAGTATGGAAATACAACATGATACACCAGGAAAAAGGACACACACATATTATATATATATATGAAAGGCTACGTATAGTGTGTATTGTCATCACTTGAGCCACGCCCTATCACAATATAATAATGTATCATTGCATAAAGCTACCAGCTGCCCTGATCCTGCGGATTTTGGCAAGATGACCACCAGACAGCATAAGATATCGTTCCGAGACATCCTAAAGGGGTTACTTGGCAGGAAGCCCCAATAGATAGCGGCAAAAAAATAGGGTTTCTTGCAGACGTTTCTTTCAACCAACCTATCTCCATTTATAGTTATTTTATCTTCCATTTGAATCTTGAATGTATTCGGGGAAGCCATTATTGAATTTCATCTACTGTCCTCTATAAATGGACACTTCATCTAAGATACCGAGACATATTCTGAACACACACATTACATAGTACTGTTAAACTGTTACACATATATTTAGTTTCATCCTGGAGTAGGCAGAAGGAATTAGAAAAAAAACTGAAATAGGAACCTTTGAACATCCCATATTCAATCTACTTCTGCTTCAGGATTATTTTGCATACATATAATATATAAATATATATATATATATATATATTATACGTATGTAACGTAATTTATCGTAACGTAAGGTAAGGTAATGTAATGTAATGGTGTGGTATGGTATGGTATGGTGATGTATGTATATTATATGCAATGCACATATGTAAACATACCAAGCAACTCTTCCCTATGGGCCAGGCACCTGGGACTCGGAATCTCCAGTGGTGGCCATGGGCGATCGCGTTCCGCCGCAGATGCTACTGGGCCCAAAAAGTCATAGGATTTTCATGGATTTTCAGGGGAGTTTGAGATGATCAACTAGATCTGGAGATTTGGAGGTGACGTGGGAGAAAAAAAAAGTTCGTTCTTTGGAATTTGAGGTGATGCTCAGAGATTTTCAAGAGATTTTCAGATGATGTTCAGGGGATTGTTGCGGGATTTGTGATGATTTGTTCCCAAAACTGAAAGAAAACATGGGTGTCCAGTCTTAAGGAAACCGAAGTGTGGGGCCTGAAATTGAAGATTGTCCTATGAAAATCAGAAGCTCCAATCCGGCAAATCAACATGGTAATTGAAAATCCACCATTTATAGGGGATTTCGATCTAGCCACGTTTGATTGCCAAAGGGTGATCCTTTTGGTACAGTCACAGTCTCAATTCTATCAGTTCTACCGAAGAAAAAAGAGCCTGGAGAGAGAGAGAGAGAAACTGTATGATTTGGAGACTTAGCAATAAACGTCCACAGTTCTGGTAAAATTAGTGGTATTCTCGTGTTGGGCTTGGAACATTCACAATCAGGATGACATAGGTCCGGAGTGTTTCAGTTCAATCCCGATGTACGTTGGTGAATATTGCCCCAAGCGATTTCCAATATAAAGCCTTGAAATTGGGAAGAGTCCAGTCGAAAGGGGTATGCCAGAAAAGTTGAGGCAAAGCCATTTGCAAGAAATTACCCTCTGGTTATGTCAAAATAGCTATTGAAAATGGCCATAGAAATAGTGAGTTTTCCCATTAAAAATGGTGATTTTCCATATAAATCACCATTTTCCCATGGTTTTCCCATGGTTTTCCCATTAAAAATGGTGATTTTCCATAGCTATGTTAGTTTACCAAAGGCTGTCATGTGACGTCCACGTCGTATCCTGTGAACATTTCGCTCAGGCGCGAGCTTCTTGAGGCTGGAGACATTGGCGCCAGATGGTTGGTGCTTTCAGCAGCGTGAAATGTATGTGGCTGGAGAGTGATATTTTCATATATTTTCCAAATTTATATAGATATATATATATTTATTTATTTCTTTAAAATTATTTGTTTTTGTTTATCTGTTTATCTGTACCTATATATATATGTATATGTGTGTGTGTCTGTGTTTTAAGCAGGGACAATGCTATAATATGTGTGCGTATTTATTAAAGCACAAAAAGGAAAATAACGGCTGATGCGGAATAATGCGGAAGGCCCCAAACCATAAGCCAACCTCAGTGGCTTCACAGAACCCCGAGTGGAAGTTAACGACATCGAGTTTACCACATTAGATTGATCATTTCCCGACTTTCTGTCATCAAAAACAGGTGCTTACTGTACCTATTGTTGTTTGCCATCCACGCAGTCCAAGTGATGCTTGGGATGTGGACGTTTTGGCTGCTTCCCATTTTGCTACACACTCTAAATTCAACATTGGAACATGTTCAAGCCATCGTATCCACTACAAAATCAGTTTTGGAGCTCAAATTTCAGGTGCCATGTTACATGTTCAGGGTGCAACTGCTTTTTTTTCTCCACTGCCATGTGGCTTCCCCGCAGGAACATACATGACAACTGGTTCACTGAGGAAAATCAGAACTCCACAAGATTTTGCGTTGTTGGGCCACCATAACGTATCTTCAGTTTGATTTGTACTTGTTGGCTGACACACTTGCGAAGTCATGAAAGACGGTCTCTTTTCATGAATGCAAAGTCTGATTACCTCATGGTAGATTGAAGGCATCACTCGGCCATACCGAGTTAAAAAAGGCCAAGCTTATCCGTTGACATTTGAATGTCAGGTTGTTTAAAAGAGAAACCAATACGGCTCAATCAAAAGTGATCATGAAATGACTGAATGACGGCATGCAGGTTCTTGGGTTAGCCTGATCCCATAAAGTACTAACAGATACGAATATGACCACCAGCTATGACCCCAACATATTGGGTATGTCATCCAGGTGCATCATGCAGGTACGTTTTCACAACCTAAGGTGAGCGTCTTCATTGGCACAAGACTCACCAAAGGTCCTTGTGCCCCCTGCTGTGAATTAAGGTGCAATGGTATCCATAATTTATGGAAGAAAGCAGTTAAAAAACTAGTTGGTTGAAATCAGCCGCAAAAAGTGAGGAACTCTTCGGTACAGAGCTTGACACACACAAAAAGGCACGTAGCCGGGCTTGTATTCCTTTAAAGGCGAGAATGGAAGACATCATCAAGAGATTTGTGAAAAAACCCGCAGAGGAACATTTGCAACCTCATCAGCGTGTCAGTAAATATTTTTTTGCCACAGCCAAAAGGTTAGGTATGCTTGAACTGCCTTCTGTACAGGACGCGTTGGCAGTCTGTTTTGGAGAACCCTTTCTGTACATACAGCTGAATGAGTTGGTTGAGATCATCACGGACAAATTCTTTGGGAAACGTGTATCTGCGAATTAAGGTTGCACGGGACTTTAGTCCGGACAAGCGGAGACGCATGCTGCCAGCAGAATGGAGATGACGAATTTCCCATAGTGGAGGTACTTGGTACCTTACGGTTTGTTGCACTACGTCAATGGTGAACCCAAGGAGTGTACCATCTTGGACGGTTTCCAACTCCACCGGCGCTTGATAAAAGAAACAATCGGAAAGCACTCGCATGGGCAGTGCGGAGCGAAAACGGTGGTCAAACAAAATGAATCTGTTGTCCACATATCTTGTGAACAGAAGCCTTTCTGTACATATAACCGAGATAGTGCGTGCAACGAACTCTGTGCTTGACAGGACGGAAATGAATATTTACGAATTAAATGAGCTCGACTCTTCAGTCCGCTCAAACGCAATCGGAGGGTTCCGGCTGAAATGATTGTTCTTTCAGAAACATCAACATAAAAGCCGAGAAGTAAAATTGTCGGCAACCAGCTCCAGTTCGACTGGACTACCATAAAAGTCCAAGTCTGTAAACACTTTGAACACTGGAGCATGAAGATGGTGCTTCTGTACAATGACAAAACGGCTGTCGACGTACCTGATTGCAAGATGATGAAAATTTGGTTGAGTCAGGACTTCTTGATAGGTACTGCTCCACGGTCTCTCGATAAGCGTCACGGCCAAGTTCGAAAGTGTTGGAGAAATCTGACTTCCTATTCCAGCGCCCCTGATTTGGCGCCATACAACACCAAGTGCTGTGAAAAAGTGAGTCCGCTGTACACGTGGGTCGACCCCCTGCCTTAAAACTGAAAAATTGAAAAACTGAAAAACAGAAAATTCGCAAACCCTTTGGAAACAGGGGTTGACCCTACACACAAAAGCCTATCGCCGCTGGTATTTGTCGGCCACAACGCACTGTGAATATCTGACAAAGCGAAGCCTTTCTGTACATATAACCGAGATAGTGCGTGCAACGAACTCTGTGCTTGACATGACGGAAATGAATATTTACGAATTAAATGAGCTCGACTCTTCAGTCCGCTCAAACGCAATCGGAGGGTTCCGGCTGAAATGATTGTTCTTTCAGAAACATCAACATAAAAGCCGAGAAGTAAAATTGTCGGCAACCAGCTCCAGTTCGACTGGACTACCATAAAAGTCCAAGTCTGTAAACACTTTGAACACTGGAGCCTGAAGATGGTGTTTCTGTACAATGACAAAACGGCTGTCGACGTACCTGATTGCAAGATGATGAAAATTTGGTTGGGTCAGAACTTCTTGATAGGTACTGCTCCACGATCTCTCGATAAGCGTCACGGCCAAGTTCGAAAGTGTTGGAGAAATCTGACTTCCCATTCCAGCGCCCCTGATTTGGCGCCATACAACACCAAGTGCTGTGAAAAAGTGAGTCCGCTGTACACGTGGGTCGACCCCCTGCTTTAAAACTGAAAAATTGTAAAACAGAAAAACAGAAAAATTCGCAAATCCCTTGGAAACAGGGGTTGACCCTACCCACAAAGGTCTATCGCCGCTGGTATTTGTCGGAAAACCGAGATAGTGCGTGCAACGAACTCTGTGCTTGACAGGACGGAAATGAATATCTGCGAATTAAATGAGCTCGACTCTTCAGTCCGCTCAAACGCAATCGGAGGGTTCCGGCTGACATGATTGTTCTTTCAGAAACATCCACATAAAAGCCGAGAAGTAAAATTGTCGGCAACCAGCTCCATTTCGACTGGACTACCATAAAAGTCCAAGTCTGTAAACACTTTGAACACTGGAGCTTGAAGATGGTGCTTCTGTACAATGACAATAAAGCTGTCGACGTACCTGATTGCAAGATGATGAAAATTTGGTTGAGTCAGAACTTCTTGATAGGTACTGCTCCACGATCTCTCGATAAGCGTCACGGCCAAGTTCGAAAGTGTCGGAGAAATCTGACTTCCTATTGCAGCGCCCCTGATTTGGCGCCATACAACACCAAGTGCTGTGAAAAAGTGAGTCCGCTGTACACGTGGGTCGACCCCCTGCCTTAAAACTGAAAAATTGAAAAAACTGAAAAACAGAAAAATCGCAAATCCCTTGGAAACAGGGGTTGACCCTACACACAAAGGCCTATCGCCGCTGGTATTTGTCGGCCACAACGCGCTGTGAATATCTGACAAAGCGAAGCCTTTCTGTACATATAACCGAGATAGTGCGTGCAACGAACTCTGTGCTTGACAGGACGGAAATGAATATTCACGAATTAAATGAGCTCGACTCTTCAGTCCGCTCAAACGCAATCGGAGGGTTCCGGCTGAAATGATTGTTCTTTCAGAAACATCAACATAAAAGCCGAGAAGTAAAATTGTCGGCAACCAGCTCCAGTTCGACTGGACTACCATAAAAGTCCAAGTCTGTAAACACTTTGAACACTGGAGCCTGAAGATGGTGCTTCTGTACAATGACAAAACGGCTGTCGACGTACCTGATTGCAAGATGATGAAAATTTGGTTGAGTCAGAACTTCTTGATAGGTACTGCTCCACGGTCTCTCGATAAGCGTCACGGCCAAGTTCGAAAGTGTTGGAGAAATCTGACTTCCTATTCCAGCGCCCCTGATTTGGCGCCATACAACACCAAGTGCTGTGAAAAAGTGAGTCCGCTGTACACGTGGGTCGACCCCCTGCCTTAAAACTGAAAAATTGAAAAACTGAAAAACAGAAAATTCGCAAACCCCTTGGAAACAGGGGTTGACCCTACCCACAAAGGCCTATCGCCGCTGGTATTTGTCGGAAAACCGAGATAGTGCGTGCAACGAACTCTGTGCTTGACAGGACGGAAATGAATATTTGCGAATTAAATGAGCTCGACTCTTCAGTCCGCTCAAACGCAATCGGAGGGTTCCGGCTGAAATGATTGTTCTTTCAGAAACATCCACATAAAAGCCGAGAAGTAAAATTGTCGGCAACCAGCTCCATTTCGACTGGACTATACCATAAAAGTCCAAGTCTGTAAACACTTTGAACACTGGAGCTTGAAGATGGTGCTTCTGTACAATGACAAAAAAGCTGTCGACGTACCTGATTGCAAGATGATGAAAATTTGGTTGAGTCAGAACTTCTTGATAGGTACTGCTCCACGATCTCTCGATAAGCGTCACGGCCAAGTTCGAAAGTGTCGGAGAAATCTGACTTCCTATTGCAGCGCCCCTGATTTGGCGCCATACAACACCAAGTGCTGTGAAAAAGTGAGTCCGCTGTACACGTGGGTCGACCCCCTGCCTTAAAATTGAAAAACTGAAAAACAGAAAAATCGCAAATCCCTTGGAAACAGGGGTTGACCCTACACACAAAGGCCTATCGCCGCTGGTATTTGTCGGCCACAACGCGCTGTGAATATCTGACAAAGCGAAGCCTTTCTGTACATATAACCGAGATAGTGCGTGCAACGAACTCTGTGCTTGACAGGACGGAAATGAATATTCACGAATTAAATGAGCTCGACTCTTCAGTCCGCTCAAACGCAATCGGAGGGTTCCGGCTGAAATGATTGTTCTTTCAGAAACATCAACATAAAAGCCGAGAAGTAAAATTGTCGGCAACCAGCTCCAGTTCGACTGGACTACCATAAAAGTCCAAGTCTGTAAACACTTTGAACACTGGAGCCTGAAGATGGTGCTTCTGTACAATGACAAAACGGCTGTCGACGTACCTGATTGCAAGATGATGAAAATTTGGTCGAGTCAGAACTTCTTGATAGGTACTGCTCCACGGTCTCTCGATAAGCGTCACGGCCAAGTTCGAAAGTGTTGGAGAAATCTGACTTCCTATTCCAGCGCCCCTGATTTGGCGCCATACAACACCAAGTGCTGTGAAAAAGTGAGTCCGCTGTACACGTGGGTCGACCTCCACTAGAGGGAAGGCTGAAAACGGTCTCAAGGGAGGAGGAGCAGGAACTCTGGGAGGAAGAACATGCGCTCTGGGAGGAATGTTTCCAACATACGGGTCCCAAAGACCAGTATGAATGTCCCATTGACCTGGTGGAGGACGGAGAGCTTGAGAGAAAGAAGAAAGAGCCGTTCTAACTGACCTACCTCTTTCAGATCTCGAAGTGGACCTCAGAGAATGGTGATCACGATGATGGTGACGGTGATGGGATGCTCGATGACGACGTCTTGTTCTGGATCTGGAGCAACTTGATGTTGTGCGTCTTTCCTGTTTGTCATCATCTGTTCCAACCGGCACCTGAGGTTGGACTGCTGACGGTCGACGAGGTACGGAGATCGTTCCTGGAATTGCGGCTGGGGCTACTACCGGAGTTGCTGGAGGAGCATGTGGTGTCAATGCCAGTCTTACTGCTGGCTTCGCCGGTGCCTTGGGTGGCCGAGGTGGAGTCGGGTCCACGTTGCCGGCCACAAAATAAACATTATACACCGGAGTCGACATGGCTCAGAAATCTAGAGAAAGGAAAATGGAAAATGTGTTGTCTAATATGACAACTTGCTAACTGTACCAGGATTGATCAGTTAGACAACTAACAAATGATAACGTATTGTTGCTTGCTCAACTGTACACCAAAAGGCATTCATGTGTACAAACACAATTCATCCATTTGGAATTCAATGCTGAGGCTTCAAGTGTGGAATTCAGAAAATTCATCTTATTGGTGACTATCAGTCGCCAAAATTGTCAAAAGTCAAATTCAAGTTCAAACTCAGTGGATTCAAGCTATTTTTGCCGGATAGCATACCGGGATCTATTCTCTCAAATGCACGCTTTGTGTCAGAGACACACGTTCAATCATTGCAATGAGCCACCGTGGCTGAATTCAAGAGTCAAATTCACTTGTGGATTCTCGCACTCCCAGGGGAGATACGACGCCTGGAATTCCAGGATCACGACCGGACTTTGACAGATCCCACGGCCGAAATACACACTTGCGAAGTCATGAAAGACGGTCTCTTTTCATGAATGCAAAGTCTGATTACCTCATGGTAGATTGAAGGCATCACTCGGCCATACCGAGTTAAAAAAGGCCAAGCTTATCCGTTGACATTTGAATGTCAGGTTGTTTAAAAGAGAAACCAATACGGCTCAATCAAAAGTGATCATGAAATGACTGAATGACGGCATGCAGGTTCTTGGGTTAGCCTGATCCCATAAAGTACTAACAGATACGAATATGACCACCAGCTATGACCCCAACATATTGGGTATGTCATCCAGGTGCATCATGCAGGTACGTTTTCACAACCTAAGGTGAGCGTCTTCATTGGCACAAGACTCACCAAAGGTCCTGGTGCCCCCTGCTGTGAATTAAGGTGCAATGGTATCCATAATTTATGGAAGAAAGCAGTTAAAAAACTAGTTGGTTGAAATCAGCCGCAAAAAGTGAGGAACTCTTCGGTACAGAGCTTGACACACACACACATATATATATATATACATACACAAGTATATGTGTACATTTAGTACTATTGTACATTATTATTACGTGTTTTTTTGATTTACGCATGTGTATATTACATGACATACATGACATACATGGATGGATGTCTTACTTCTTGAATCTTAGGAAATTCCAGGCATGTGAAAATTCGACCTGGGAGGAGCGCTTGGGATCCTATGGCCTTACTTTACATGAACTTGCGGTGCTGGCTGCCACGTAGGGATGCCCAGGACATTCCAGGGCCCATGGGTTGATTTTTGGTTCCAGCACATTCCCCTAATGTTGAAATATCATGGAGGGGGATGTGCTTTATTGTGAAAAGATAGCATATATATATATATACAATATGTAATATCAACATGATATACATATATGATGTTCACATATGTTGAATATCATATAATATGGGGCCCACATGTGAATAGATTCAATGCTCAACCAGGCTTTCTGGTGGTGTTTATTTTCAGGGGTAGCGGAGTATAATGATTATACCCTCTGGTTATTTAACATCACTATGGCAGCTATCACCATTAAAATAATAGCAACATCATCATTTTGATCGTCTATAAATTTGTGGGGCATCACCATAGCAAACTGTTAAATAAAATAATGATTCAATAACAGATGTCACGTTCTGTATTTAGCTATGGTGATCATCAACGCTGTTTTAGTAACAGTGGCATCCATTAACTTTGCTGTTATAATCACCATATTATAGATATAGATTATAGCTAGATCATCCAACCTGTTTTAATGGCTATATCACTTTCTGGATGATTTCTAAAACGACCTCACAGGGATGGATCTGGGCGGCTTGAAATTCTGCATGTTCCTTTCAGAATTTCGCAGCCGATGGTATTTTTTAGCCACATATTAGCCATATATATATATACATATATATATACATATATATATGTATATATATATATATTGGACAAATCCTCATTCAATCATTGTCATGTCATGGTTGCTTAAACCATGATTATTCCCTACTATAAGTAAGAAAAGTGGATTTCCCAGCCAGCCATGTTAAAATGGATACATGGTACATCAATCCTATGTCTCCATACTGGTATGTTTCTTGATCTATGGTGTGTACGTCCCCCACCCATGGCTGGCAAAACCCATGGATTCTTTCCCGATCAACCCATCACTTACCCTTTGGTAATTTGTTACATAGCTATTGAACATGGCAATTTATAGTGAGTTTTCCATTAAAAAATGGTGATGTTCCATAGTTATGTTAGTTTACCAGAGGGTACCTAGAATATCTTGAAATCAACATATAGACCAGAGGGTACCTAGAATATCCAATTGTTATGGTTGGTTAATAATTCCACCACTAGGGTTCCAAATAATTAGCTATGGATCAATAGTGCGGTGAACCTCAGGTACATTCATACATCTCAGTTATTTCGATGTTCACAGGGTTTTGGCCCATCCTTAATAGTTTTTTCCCCAAATCATCTTCCAAGGATGGAAGGGATGTTTGAACAAGATGTGGAGCAGCGCCTACGCATTGTTTATGCTGAGAAGAACTTGGCAGCAGAGGCCGGCAGTTACTGATGCACATTTCTGACTGTGTAGGTATGCTTTAAAATTGGATATACGTTTGTATGAGTACATACATTCATAATATATATATATATGAATTATAAATGCATATGCATGTGCATATAATTACATGCATGTGTATATAGATATAGGCATACCTGCGTATATCTATACATGCATATAAATATATGTCGATTTGCATATAGCTATAGAGATGTGCGCGTGTCATATGTGTATGTACATGTTTGAACCTCAAGCTTCAGTACCTCGAGAAGCCCTGGTTGAAACTTACAGGGCCAAGGTCAATTTACCAGCGGCTAAAGGGACGACACCCATCATTTCACACAAAAGGAGAGGCCTAAACCAAGTGGCCGTTCATCTCATTCCGTTTTTTGTTGGTATCAAGCATGATTAGTGATTAGTGATATTTTGTGTCCCCCTTTTCTTCCCACCTGTACTTGACGATAATGTTGTACCCATCTCTGCGTTGGTCCACCATCAAATTGTTGGGACTGGGCTCTTATATATAATGTATATATTTACATATATTTACTTCTGCGGATCTACATCCATCGATCCGTAATGATCCGTATATTCACCCACATAATATGCACAACATATATACCGTGGTTAGCTATGCCCCTACAATTGGCTCATGTTGCTTGGGATGTCCCTGGGAGTTGAAGCCGCCAACCACTATACAATATATATATACACATGTACACATACATTTGTGTGTATACGTTTATATTCATATATATAGATAGATACATGGACAGACAGATAGATGGACAGACAGATAGATAGACCGATAGACAGATAGATAGATAGATAGATAAATAGACAGATAGATAGATAGACAGACAGGTAGATAGACCGATAGACAGATAGACAGATAGACAAATAGACAGATAGATAGATAGACAGATAGATAGATAGATAGACAGATAAACAGATAGACAGATAAACAGATAGACAGATAGACAGATAGACAAATAGATAGATAGACAGATAAACAGATAGACAGATAAACAGATAGACAGATAGACAGATAGACAAATAGATAGATAGACAGATAAACAGATAGACAGATAAACAGATAGACAGATAGACAAATAGATAGAGATTTAGATACAGACATAGATATAGATGCACTTATAGAATTAGATATTGATTGTGTATTCATGTGCATATACAGTGCGGGCAGCTACGAAATGTGGGTCCACCACGATTTGTCCATCAGATCCCCGGACCGACGCCAGGAGAAGGTCTATTGGGACCAGGCGATCAGTGCGAATGTTTTTTTTGTTTTAGGATGGATTTTTTGCTGATGTTAGAAGATGATGATTTGAGCATATTTGAGTTACTGTATTTGTTTGATAGATGTTTTAAGGATGCTTTCAAGCCACAAAGCCACAAGTTGCGCTTGCAGTGCATAAGCCAGGGCATGTTTGGGAACAGCACTGACTCACATGCCTGGAGTGGATTGGTGTGATCCCTATTCGTTCGGCTTACGTTCAGATCCCCGCATCAACTCGCGAACGTCTAAATGTTGTGTCAACAATGCCATGAATGTTGGCGAAGAAAATCATACATTCGTGCTCCCATATCAAGTCGGCAAAGCGCTGATGATTTTTCAAGAGATATCACGGTCACCCCATGTTTGTTGCTTTAGAAGTTATCCAGCAACAAATTCTCGTCCTTCACATCCCCATGTCAGTTCAGGCCAATTTCTTGGTACATATCCCCATGTTTCTCGTCGTATATACCCCCCATATTCTTGGCTCATATCCCCAAATTGCTTGGTCGAAAATATCTCCGATGTCCCCCTGTTTGTCAGTTAAATAACCATTACCACCAGTTCCAATCCTCATGTTTAGTGGGAACTACGCCCATCTTTCAAAGTCAGGCGATGTCCGTGATGTGGAGCTACGCAACTTGTCGGAGCAGGGGTGACACGTGAGCCAATGCGGGTTGCCATTTAAATCCCGACAAGAAATCAAAATGTACATGTCATATGGGGGGTTCTTAAGATGGGGGGATCCGAAAATGGATTATTTATAATGGCAAATCCTATGAAAATGGATGATTTGGGGGTACCCCCATTTTAGGAAGCATCCATATGTGTTACAGAATGTGTCTATCAAATATTGGGTTCTGTCATGGAATGTTACTGGAAATTCAGTCATGGGGTGGGTTTTCCGGGAAAATCTTCAAGCCAATCCAATGACTTGTGATATTGCTTGAGCTCGTGAAATCTATATAAATGACATGATATGAGTTATGACATACATTATATTTCGATTATCACGGGAAAGAGCGTGTAGAGTATGGTTGAATAGTCATACTTTTCTATGAATCAGTCGTCCGTCCTTGGAAATGCCACGGAACAATTCATGAGATGTATAGATTCTTATGATCATTATCATAGATATTGAATATCCCACAAACTGATTCAGAAACAATGTTTGAATGCAACCCAGCTACACATGATAGAATGGCCCCGGTGGGCTTGGAGATGATTTGCCGAATTGCCAGTGGCCATATGATCAAATGGGCGCTGGCATTGGGATGTGAACGTCAACACTGGGTTCAAGCAACATCTGGGTTGTCCAACTGGGGAGGTGGAGCAAAATATCTGTTTTAGAGTAACTGATGAATCAGCCGTTAAAAAGGCGGAGCTGATTCATCCGGAGTTGACGTTAGCCATGTAGGATCCGCAACAGACCTTTAATAATTTTGGTATGCCCCACTTGAATTTCATAGCCGCCTTTTGTGCTTAATAACTACTTGGGATGCGCTAAGCTCTCAGAGATGGCGATGGAGAGAGAGAGAGAGAGAGGTGCGAATTAAATGTATTTGCCGGTCAAATGTTCAAGTCTACATTTTTTGCTGGTTCAATCATGGTTTTTGTTTGAAACATGTGCAACTGGTTACCTTCCCATCTGAAGTCAGCCGGCGATGGGGATCCGATCGCCAGGTCGCAGCCTTTATTACTGGGACACCCGTGGAATCCTTGAGCCCAGGCGCGGCGCCATGTGCCGTCCCAAATCAGCGGAGGTATACCTATCATAGTTACTACACTACTACACCATATCATTTTTTTTATAGTTATACCATTAGGTATTTATATGGTAGGTATACTAGTATGATGATCACATTCTAAAATCTAGAGTTAGTTACCAGGTATCTATCATGAGCGTTCATTGTCTATAAGTATCAAGGTTGAAACCACCAAGCAGCATGTAAAAATCAATAGCATCTTCATTGCCAGGTCATTTTTTGCGAGGGTTACTTGGGGGTTCATTTTATAAGCATGTATAACCAGAGTTACAGGATGTTATAGGGGGATTATAGGGGTTATATTCCAACTGGAGGTGAACTTAACATGGTTATACCGAGTCCCCCCGTTGGGACGTTCTGCTAGGTGATGTGAGGCGAGCCACTCATCAATTTGCCATGAGGCGCAGCCGACATTTGATCCATACCCATGCTCACACCATATCTGTATACGTGAGATGTATATATAATTATATATATACATATTACATATATATATATATATCTGTGTGTGTGAATAGGTGCACATAAATATTCACTACATGTCATGTGTAATTATGTACTTAGTTATATAAATTATATGCATATATGTGTATATACGCTGTAAAACTCTAGGGGGTCCTAGTGACACCCACAAAATCTGCCACGAAATCTGTCAGGTTTCCACGTCATGTGGAAGCAAAGACCCTACTGATTGACATCACCCAGGAGGTGAGAATAGCCTGGAGCGGGTGGATACGCCAACCAACCGCTGCATAGTGAATATACACATACAATCACATATATATATATATATACATTTGTATACGTAACGTCTGTATTATATTTATGGCTCTACACTCTACACACCTTTGTATTTCTGTATGACAACATATATATATAATATATATAATATATATAATATAATATATATATATATATAATATATAATATATATATAATATATATATAATATATATATAATATAATATATATATATATGTGTGTGTTATGTGTGTATGTTATATATTGCGGATATTTATATGTTTTGCGGGTGATAAAGAAGTGTCCACAAAGCAGAATCATGAAGGATGCTGTTGTATCTATATAATTACATCTGGTTGACTATTGGTGAATTGCAAACTCAAGTCGGTTCTATATGTTATTGAATGCAGGCATGGCTATGTTGGATACTCATTGTTTTGGTTTCAGGTTCAAGTTCGTGCAGTAGCCAAGCTGAGTGAAAATGGGACAGGAAAACACAATCGTGATTTTACGGTTGTTGTGTATAATTTCGTCCTAGACACAGCGCACAAAGGCACAAACATGTCGGATTGATTATTTGCAGTGAAATCAGTGATATTCTAATTCTTGCAGACAAGGTTGTCAAATTGTTGGCAACTACAGTAGCGCCATGTCAGTATACAACCATGGCATTTTCGGATTGTGTTCAGGTTACAGTAATAATGATTTGAAGTATAACCATATATGGTGGTTTCCTAGATCATGGGGGTACCCCCAAATCATCCAGTCGTCATGGATGACCATGACTTAGTATTGCAACCCATGGTGACTTGGGGATGCCCCATGACTATAGAACCCCCATATAATCCCATATGGAGGTTTCCTAAAATGGTGGTACTGGTACCCCCAAATCAATCCAAATCAATCCAAATCATCCATTTTGATTGTTAATAGTATTTTCCCCTATAAACCAACCATTTTGGGGTACCTCCATTTATGGACACCCTCATATGCCAATTTGATCCACTTTGAGTTTGGTCGACCAACGTGCACTCTGCTTCCAGATCGTTGGAGAAACCACCACCGCTCAATACGATGTTCGGCGGTTGGCGCAGAAGGGTCGGTGGGATGACACATGCACCTTGTTTTGACATGTTTTGACCATGGCGCAAATATTGCTATATTATATATATATATAAATACAAAGTATGTTTGTATGTGTATGTGTATATATGCATAATTACATGTATAGAGTTTATGTATGCGTTATTGTATGCATGCTTGTATGTATGAATTGGTGCTTTGTACTTTTTGACATAGACAGACAAACAGACAGATGGACACACTCCTTCCGCTGGTCAAACCACCCTCATTGATACTTAAATCATGATTCTTGATACCCAGGTAATGGCCCTTAGTAACTTAGCCATGGATGAGTTACCTCTCAAAAACCGCTAGATTTCCATACTTAAATCTCTACTCTGCCTAGTTAAATCTCCATTTTTGGATGGTAAATGAATGATCTATGTTTTTCTAGTTAAATCTCCATTTTCAACTAAGTCACGATTTTTCGGACTTCAATCGCTCATTTTTGCCACGGTAAATATCCTTCATTTGCTTCGTACCCAGTAGGGACTTCGCGCTGCTGCAAAAGATCCTCTCGAAGTTCGGCCAACGCCTGGGTGCGTTGGAAGACACCGAGTGCAAGGCGTTTGGCTTTTTTTTTGATGGATGGGTGGATGGACTGGTTGATTGATAAGATAAGATTCATGGTGTATATAGATACTGTGGATACTCTAAATATTGTAGATGTATGGATGGATATATGTATAGATAGGTAGATAGGTAGATAGGTAGACCGGTAGATAGATAGATAGATAGGTAGGTAGGTAGGTAGGTAGATAGATAGATAGATTAGATAGAGTAGATAATTAGATAGATTAGATAATTAGATAGATGAGATAATTTGATAATTAGATAATTAGATAGACAGATAGATAGATAGATAGAGAGAGATAGATAGATAGATAGATAGATAGATTAGATAGATTAGCTAGATTAGATAGATTAGATAGATTAGATAGATTAGATAGATTAGATAGATTAGATAGATTAGATAGATTAGATAGATTAGATAGATTAGATAGATTAGATAGATAGGTAGAGTAGATAGAATAGATGTATCAGATAGAATAGATAGAGTAGATAGATTAGATAGATTAGATAGATTATATTAGATAGATTAGATTAGATTAGATTAGATAAATAGATTAGATAGATAGATAGATTAGATATATTAGAATAGATAGATTAGATAGATCAGATTAGATAGATCAGATTAGATAGATCAGATTAGATAGATCAGAATAGATAGATCAGAATTGATAGAGTAGAATAGATAGATTAGAATAGATGGATAGATGGCTAGATAGCTAGATAGCTTAGATAGATAGATTAGATTAAATTCAACTAGATTAGATTAGATAGATTAGATAGATTAGATAAATTAGATAGATTAGATTGAATAGATAGAATAGATAGAATAGATAGACTAGATAGATTAGATTGACTAGATAGAATAGATAGAATAGATAGAATAGATAGAATAGATAGAATAGATAGAATAGATAGAATAGATAGAATAGATAGAATAGATAGAATAGAGAATAGATAGAATAGATAGAATAGTGAATGGCTAGAATAGATAGAAAAGATAGAATAGATAGAATAGATAGAATAGATAGAATAGATAGAATAGAATCGAATAGAATCGAATCGAATAGAATAGAATAGAATTGAATGATAGACATATCAATACCGTATTTAACAAATGGATTTACAGATTAATGAATGGATGGACAGATGGATGGCTAGACAAATGAATAGGAAGATCATAGATGGAAAAATAGGTAGATAATAGTAGTTAGATACCTAGATGTGCATAAATATGTGATTATTGAAGGTGTGGGTATATGGTCAGGAGGAAAGTCGTCCAAAACCATATCTGGGAACAGCGGGCCTCTGGGCCGGCCATTTTCTTGCCCACTGGAAACACGAGATGTAACTATGTGATTTAACCAGCAAATTTCAATAGATGGTGATTTAATGTGATTTAGGTGGCGCTACATGGGATTTTTCATGGATTTTCTCTACTTGTTGTGCCCAAAAAATGGGTGATAGATTTTCAAATACGGCCATTTTGATTGTAGAACGGTGATGAACTATAGGATTTAGGGTCCCCTATTTTCAGGCAAACTCATGACACACTGGCGGCTTAATCAACCCCATTTATGTAGGACATGTATGACTCAATGACCCCTTTGTTGGCCCGAGTTTCCTCTTCTCGGAGTCACTGTGGATGATGACCCAGTTGCCCGAGCTGAGCTTACCCAGGTGATGAAGAACAAGATGACATCCCTGGAAGATGAGTATGGAAGTGGAGCGGTACGACCCTAGGACGCATTGGACATCGGAAATGCGTGGAAAACTTGAAATGACATGGGCCAGATGGCCAGATTGTTCAAAGATGTTCAAAGTCGATTTCATCATATTTCGTCATATTACCAAAATTTCATCATATTTTATTTTATATTTCATCCCATTTTTTTGCCTGGAAATTTCCATGGGATTGCGTTCCGAATGCGACGACCTTTGCCCTAAGGGCTTGGCGACTTCTATGGAGACAAGGCCTGGGCAGTCCCAATAGATAACATCCATTTGGGTCATGGGATGATTTCTCCAACCCATTTATGGCACATTTATGGCAAGTCTGTGGTTTTTCTGGACCTGTTTTTTTCGGGACAATTCTACCGGAAACTGGCCACATTTCATGGATTTTCCCATGAAATGTGGCTAAGTCATGGCAGTTTCCAGCATGAAATTCCCAGCAATCCATGGACCTTGCGGGCGTTGCGCGCCGCGCGAGGCCGAGTATCACTTCACCGAGGCTCCCTCCTTCCTACGCCGCAACGGCGTGTTGGACGAGTCCGTTCCGGAGGATCCCAAGGTGGAACCATGTTCCTATGGGCCTATGGATGGATGTTTTTCCATGGGTTTTCCCATGAGTTTCAGTGAAAAATGGTGAAAACTCGGAGTTTTGATTGGCAGAGAGGGTAAATGTGGATCGTTTTCGGGCCATGTTTGATTACCAGAGTTTAGTTGGGATTGATAGGGTCCTAAGGAACCCCTCAAAACAAGTCAGTGTTCTCATCTGAAAACATGGAAACCAAAAGAATTGTCCGGGATATTTCACAAGAATCGTGCAAGATCCAGGAGGTCTCATTTGTTTAGTTTGTGAGCACCTTGAGATGCCGATGAAACATCCTGAAACATGTGCTGAAATCGTGGTGTGGTGGGTTTATGGCTTGCTTAATTGGTCCTTTTACGGTTTTATGCTTTTTGGCTGTCTATATATTATTGTTATATGTATGTAGAAGAAATATGATTTCTAGCTACAATATGATTTCCATAGCTACAGGTTGATTCAAATTCAAGTGCAGGGTATGTTGCCGTAGTCAACACAAGGGGGCCCTGTCCAATGCATACGGCATCTTTGAAGGGAGTAGATGTACTGCAAGCTCTGTTCTGGCACAGAGCTGTGTAGATCTAGAACCCAGATGGCCTATATTTTGGACCGATGGAAACCGCCCAACCTTCCATTTTTCGGAAAAAATCCTTTCAGTCTCAGATGGGCTTAAGATTTACCACCAGCCGATTCCAAGCCGTGCTCCGTACGCGTCAGGTGTTAATCCCCAACTATTTGGCGAACCCATCCAACTGCGTCACCCCTGCTGGCCTCTTGGTGAGCGAAGCAGCGAAGCTTGGGAGCTTGGGTGTGAACTGTGTTCCAAAGCATGGAAAGGATTGGAAAGGATGAAAGCGATGTGGATGATATGCTGAACATTGTTGAACAGCATTATGATTTTTCTTCGAGACTGCTTCTTTGTGACCCCTAGTGTAGCTGCTTTCATCTCTCTGGAAATGGTGGTCAACTGGTGAGCCAAAGTTGATCATTTGGGGATGGCATTCATGGGGGGTTAACGGTGTACCATTTGTGGGAGGGGCCTGCACAGGCATGCTTAGGCCTTCCAAAATGGAGTTTCAGCCTTGGCGATGTGAAACAAGCATCGGGAAGGAGCAATAGTGCCCACAGGAGCATGTTAGCCTCAAACACACACAGACATACATGCATGCATACATTGCATTGTAATACAATAGATTACATTGCATTACACTATGCATTACATTATACATTATACATTATACATTATACCCTATGCATTCCATTACATTGCATTACATTGCATTACATTGCATTACATTGCATTACATTGCATTACATTGCATTACATTGCATTACATACATTACATGCATTACATACATTACATACATTGCATACATTACATACATTACATGCATTACATGCATACATCCATACATACATACATACATACATACATACATACATACATACATACATACACACATACATACATACATACATACATCCATACATCCATACATCCATACATCCATACATCCATACATCCATACATCCATACATCCATACATCCATATATCCATACATCCATACATACATACATCCATACATCCATACATCCATACATACATACATCCATACATCCATACATCCATACTACCATACATTACAATACAATACATTACATTACATTACATACATAGATACATAGATACATAGATACATAGATACATAGATAGATAGATAGATAGATACACACATACATACATACATACATCCATACATCCATACATCCATACATCCATACATCCATACATCCATACATCCATACATCCATACATCCATACATCCATACATACATACATCCATACATCCATACATCCATACATCCATACATCCATACATCCATACATCACACATCCATACTACCATACATTACAATACAATACATTACATTACATTACATACATAGATACATAGATACATAGATACATAGATAGATAGATAGATAGATAGATAGATACACACATACATACATACATACATACATACATCCATACATCCAGACATTCATACATCCATACTACCATACATTACAATACAATACATTACATTACTTACATTACTTACATTACTTACATTACTTACATTACTTTCATTACTTACATTACTTACATTACTTACATTACTTACATTACTTACATTACTTACATTACTTACATTACTTTCATTACTTACATTACTTACATTACTTACATTACTTTCATTACTTACATTACTTACATTACTTACATTACTTTCATTACTTACATTACTTACATTACTTACATTACTTTCATTACTTTCATTACTTACATTACTTACATTACTTACATTACTTACATTACTTACATTACTTACATTACTTTCATTACTTACATTACTTACATTACTTACATTACTTACATTACTTTCATTACTTACATTACTTACATTACTTACATACATACATACATGCATGCATACATACATACATACATCAATACAATACAATACAATACATTACATTACAATACAATACATACCATACATACCATACATACCATACATACCATACATACCATACATACCATACATACCATACATACCATACATACCATACATACCATACATACCATACATACCATACATACCATACATACCATACATACCATACCACCATACATACCATACATACCATACATACCATACATACCATACATACCATACATACCATACATACCATACATACCATACATACCATACATTACATCCATCCATCCATCCATCCATCCATCCATCCATCCATCCATACATATTTGGCTCAAGCAAAAAGTGGCTTGAAGGCCACATGCAGAGGTTCTCCCCAAGGTATGGAAGCCAGTGACTGTCGGGGAGCGCCAAAGAAGTTCAAGGTGGTTGTACTTGGAGATGAGTTAGCTGGCAAAACATCGTTGGTGTGCCGCTACGTGGACGACACCTTTGAAGAGCATCCTCCGTCCACTATAGGCGTAAACCTTCACAGCAAAACTGCTTATTTGGAGGATGGACGATCCCTTCGCCTACAGCTTTGGGACACTGCTGGCCAGGAACGCTACCATAGCCTCATCCCGAGCTACATCCGTGACGCTGCAGCTGCCGTGGTGGTGTATGACATCACCAGTCAATCGTCCTTCCAAAAGACGAGGAGCTGGGTGGCCTTTGCCCGGGCAGAGCGAGGCAACGAAGCCGTCTTGGCCTTGGTGGGAAACAAATCGGACTTGGCCTCGGATCGCCAGGTTTCAGAGGAGGAAGGCAAAGAGCTGGCCAAGGAGCTGGGTTTGATGTTCATGGAGACAAGTGCAAAACGAGGAGAGAATGTCACAATGCTCTTCCAGCAATTGGCCTCAGTCCTTCCTGGCAAGGAAGAGAAACCAATGGTACAGCCAGATGGGATTGGTTTCCAGCTACATGGCCAGGAACACCGACACGAAGCTGAGACCAAGAAGAAAAAACAGTGCAAGTGCTAGCCTGTTGATGTTGGGATAAAACGTACCGTATTTGTATGTATTTGTATATAAGTTGAACAGTAGTTTAACATCAGATTCTCATCAACACCTCTGCGCTTCAGGTTACTACAGCATTTGCTGCTTGGCTGCGTTGGCACCACGAGCTCCACAAAAAAGTGGCCCACGTATTCCGATGACGTTTCATCATGTTTCATGTCATGCTCTACTGAATGCTGGAGGAGGAGAGGGGGAAAAAATATATTTCAGAGTTATCTCCAGGTTTTCTCCTCCCCAAGTATCACTGAAGCCTTTTGGATCAGCAATGAATATGCCATGGCCACCCATGGCCACCCATGGCCACCCATGGCCACCCATGGCCACCCATGGTCACCCAGGCCCCAGGCTGCTTCGACGAGTGCGAGAGCTTGATGGATCAGGTCCCGTAGGGAAATCCTTTACGAAGATTAATATAGATTAATGGATTTTCAGGGAGAACCTACAGTTACAGGAAAGCATCGTTTTGATCCTCAAATCTAGGCTTATCCTACTTATCCTGTGGAGTTTCAAAATCATCTGCGAATCATGGGTTTTGCTTGCTCCTGGCTTGTCGGAATGCCAGCATTCACGTCAGGTAGAGAAAAGCTTGGCAGCGCCTATGGGCAACTTGGAATTCAATTGTGGGTGTTCAACTTGGTGCTGCACCTTTTAGGAAAGCCTGGGATAGTTGGGACCACTTGGAATCCATAATCCTTCAGCTGATTGGTGTTTTCTGGTTCATTTCAACAGCTGATCGCCATGGACTTTGACAGGGCACCATGACAAGATAGTCCTGGTTCAAGAGCTGAAGCAGAGGAATATACTTGTTTGGTGTGTTTCCAACATGTTTTCAACCATAGTTGGGATGATACCCAATTACTTTCATAATTTTGTTTGGGGGTTGAAACCATGATAAACCATGCAGCAGATATTTCATGCCCTTTCCCAAGGGGTGAAGTGTCATGACCGCAATGGTTTTATCCTCATCGTTGTCACTTATTGCCACCAAGGTATCTGGTAATTTGTTGATAACGCTCAAACATGGGCCATCGAAATTGGTTTTGCTGGTTATGTTGATATATTTTGATCAACTAAAACATTCATTCTCGGGGGTCATCAATATTGGGCCATGCCATGCTGGTAGCCATCTATCAACCCATCCGGTCTGCCAGGGCATGTAGACGTGTGTAAGGTATGGCTAAGAGTTTGGGTGGATTGACATGTTGGTTCCCTTTGCTAATCTAACACAGCTATGGAAAACAACTTTTTAATAGGTAAATCATTTGCACACGGGCCATTTTCATCTATTTTTCATAGCAATGTTAGATTCCCAGAAGGTAATTTCCGTAAAATTCTCCGGTGTTCTTGGTTAAATCATGTTAAATCCCTATTTCTCACCACAACATCCCATTAAACAACCATAACTCCCACTATATAAATCACCGTTAAGTCACCGTTAAAATCCATTTAACACATAAAAAACCCATTAAATTCCCATTAAATCACCATAAAATTAGCTTCAAAAATACCATCCAAAAAGCAGCCTGAAAAATCTTTCACCCAGGTACCGCCGAGCAGATCGCCATGGTGGTACCTTGGAACTGCAACCTTGGTTGATTGGTTAATATAGGGAGTTAGACTGAAACTGCCCCAATTTATTGGTTGACCCATGAACCAGGCTTGCCTACCCAACATTCAGTATATACTCGACTCAATATATAATATACTCAACATTCACCTGATATATTTCTTTTAGGTTGAGTTTTGGTTAGCCTTGCCAGATCTTGACAGTTTTATCAGATGAATGGTGATGACCTAAAATTGATTGGGATAATCAATGCTAATTTTCGAGTACCCATAGTAGGGAACTATACTCGTGGCTTAATCAACCAAGTAGGGATAATCGTTGGTTGATGGGGCATTAGACTACCGATAACAACTTGGTATGATTATTATTAGCTCATCAGTAATCCATACTGTACTGGAATGATTACAGCAGTACCATTAAAACAAACAGAAAAAATAGTCGGGAAACCACGGTTTTCTTAATTCACTATGGGGATTGTGCGTAATATAATAGCTATTAAACCCATAGTAGGGATCATCATTATTATATCCAAGGATATCCAAGGTATTTTTAACATAATACATAGTAGGGAAAGATACTTGACTTAGTAATTAAGTACTGATAATTAATCATGTCTATATCCCGTAGCAAGTGCTAGTCGATCAATCCCTTTGCGGGATGATGGAAGCGGCTTTCTCGCCACCTTTTTGCTTAAACTCCTTTTCCCATCCAGGGAACCAACAAAAAAACATCAAGACTTGTCTCATCAAAAATACCCTCTGGTAAATTAACATAGACCCTGGCAGTCATCGGGGTTGGAAGACTAGTTTCCATTAAAAATGGGTGATTTTCAGGGTCAACAAGTTAATTTACCAGAGGGTAACACTCTGAGAAAGTCCATCCTTCCTCCGGATGAAAAAACGCACGCACTCAAGATCCCAAGAATCATCTGCACCCAACATTTTCACCGAGGTCTCTGGCTTGGGCTCCGCGTCCCAACCAGCCAACCGCACGTCCGGGGTCTCTATCAATGGATTGGTTTGAGGTACATTTTCTACATGAAACCATGGTTTTGTAGCAGTGAATGCTTCTTCGTTTTGAACCACATATAATACACACACACACATATTATACACATGTATCTATATATATGCATATATCACAATATTATATCTCCATGTGTGTGTGTGTGGAATCAATGGATTGGTCAAAGGGGAAGAATTGCACATCATATCATCCCATATATAAACATCAATATAAACAGCTGTCAAAAACCATGGTGGATGCAGGGGATTGGTCCCACATATTTGGGATCATAAGATGGCGATCTTAAAGATGGGGGATGGGATTAACAAGCACCGTTTTCGCTTAAACAACTCCTTCAGCCCATTGACCCCTCCAATGATGCTGTTCATCCTCCAGAAAACAGACATGGAACCCCTTGATTTGGAATGATCAACCCAAATTGTCGAGTACTTTTCAAATCGGGTTGAGATCACCAATCAATATTGAAGTTAACTTCAAGTGGTTCTAAAACCTCATGTTCAGTGGTTACAGTATTGTTAAATCATGTGAACTCATCATGTGGGTCCGAAAAGATGTTGTACCTCATGGTACCAGTTGATCATCATTTGTAGTGAACATGACGCCATTTGGTGTCAATCCCCCATCAAACACACCCAGAGTGATCATATCAAGTTAGTTATTGTTTCCTCATAGCCCAAGTAAATCCCCCTGAAAATGCAATTTATTTCCTCAGTATTTTCCATAAAGACCATATATTAATGTACAGCTCATATTTGAAGTTAGTCAATGTTAGTCATATATTCATATATTTTGTATTTTTATATGTATATATATAATATCATCCCTATCATACTTTATTTCACCACTATTTCGTCATTAGTGCCCATAAAGGGCTGGTTAAACACCATCAATAACTTATCAAGTTGGTCATATGTCCCATGATATCCCAGATAAATTCCTGCATTATTTCCGTATTATTCCATAAAAACCATACAAGGTGGTGCCCCCCCCAGTTATAAGATGTTATAAGTTGGTTTATAAACCCCATTAGCCAGAATTATCTATAGTTATATCTATATACCATTAACCATAGTTAAGCTACTTCTAAATCAACCTAGCTATTTTGGGGGCCCCATCCTGTATGTGTTACTGTTTCAAATCGCTATTTTGGTTGCCACAGGTTGTCCGCCCGTCAGCTGGGTCTTCTCGACGATGTGGCGGCACACCACGGTGGCATGGCGCCTTGGTGGCACGCGCGGGAACGTGGAAGCAGCGGAACTTGGGGGGGGTCAGTCGGTTAACATGGGTTAACCAGAAAAAAAACGGGAAAAAGAAGTTCAGGGAAAGGGTCAGAAATTGAGTTGATGTGTTTTTTTTCCGGAATATCAGAATGATGCAAATGGGAATGCGACCACATTTTCAGGTGAAATGTCAGCAGCCCAATGCAAAAATCAGCTTGAAAACAATGGTTGGGAGTTGCTATTTGAGTGCTTGGGGGACTTTGGGGTGTGGGATTACTTTTTTGTCTAAAATGAAGATCTCATCCGCAGGACATTTCCTGAATATGACGATCATGTCATGTTGGATTGCCCTTAAGGTCTAGCAGAACTCAGAGCTATGATAGCTATGATAGCTATGGGTGTTCAAAGCGCTGCATGGCTTTCGCATGCGAAACAAAAACCGCAGGTGTTTGACACTATTTCTTGATGTTTACCTCGATTCTCTGCCAAGTTTGTCAACATATGCCATACCTTCTCTTTCTATGGCTGCGTGCTCGCATTTTTTTAGCCAGCTACTTTGGGTCTTACCCACGAGTGCGAGCGCCCCTGCCAAACAAATGGCTTTGCTCGGAAATGGGCTGTAGCTGGTTATACCATGTTATACCTCAATTTACAGCCATTTTCATTGGGAAAATGATGATCATATATGATTCACCCTAGGATTTTTCAGTGGAATTCCCTATGGTTTCCCATGCCCAAGATGTCGCCGTAGGTGCCGATTCATGGTCGTCTCTTTGCACAGTGGATGCATGAAGCCTATCCGCGAGAGCCCGGAGCCTCAGTCTATATGGGGAGAGAGAGAGAGAGAGAATTTAATGGGTATCTGATACAATGATTTCACTGTACTGGATGAATGTTCATTATATACAGTAATTGTGAATGATGTTCATTGATTCTCGTATCGCCATGATGCGTTACAAGAGTCCAGCAAAAAAAGCGCCGCTGCCACCAATGCAGCAGCAAGGACAGAAACACAAACATGTCCCCATCCTGCTGGTGGTCACCAATGGGTGAGTGATGAGTAACTGGCAATGGCCTAATGCTTTCGGCCACCCAAAGTTGGGTCATAGTTGATATCCCCATTGTTTTCTTGGTTCAGATCCCCATGGTGTGGTGGTTTAGATTTACATAGATCCCCACTTATCGTATCTTGTTGTTCGTGTGTTGAACTCCTCACTTGTTAGACAGTTCGAGATGTTTGAATTCCGACTCTTGTTTCCAATTTCAAGCTTTCAGTTGATTTGCTGTTTAAGATATCATTTCAATGGGAATTTCAGGATCCTAAAATGGAGGTGCTGTACCGTATAAGGCCATATTTTGCTAGGATATTCCCTTACATAGGCCATTGATTATTAGTATTATTAGGCTGAAGTATTTCAAGTTTCAAATCACCGGGCTCTGACAGTTTGTGACCAAGATTTCGGCTATGATGACTTGGATGTCTTCCAGAGCTGGTAGGGCGCATGATGGAGCTGGTTTCATCCCATTTTTGGGGTAACATCACCATTTTTATGTTCAAATCAACCAATCCGCTGATTTTCCCATCTTTCTATCTATACAGAATCAAGTAATCATATGAATTATATATATATACATAAAATCAAATAATCATATGAATTATATATGCATGTATCTAGATCTATGTACCTGGTTAATCCTAGTTATACATTAGTGGTTGAATCCCATGCTCGCCCTATCCCAAGGTGCAGCTACCCCTCCATCGGAGAGCGTACGGGGTCCCAGCGATGTGAGGTGCCGAGGTGGCACGTCGTCGCACGTCGCAGGTCGGCAGAAATGGGCGACACCCAAAAAGTTGGTGATTTTGGCAGTTTACCCTCTGGTAAACTAACATAGCTATGGAAAGATCCACCATTTTTCATGGGAAAATCCACTATTTCGACTGGGCCATTTTCAATAGCAAACTGTCACAAATTACCAGAGGGTATCTGGGATTTCAATGGATTTCAGACTTGAATAAATGGTGATTTGGCCCATTAAAATGGTGACTGAACCGTAGAATTTCAATGAAAATGATGATGAACGTGGGATTTAAAGGGCGAAAAATGGTGATGTGATCCATGAAAAGCTGTGATTTATTTGGCAATAAATGGAATTCACCCCAAATTGAGTTTGTCCTTGTGGGACGCATCTGTTTGTGATCTTATCTGATCTTTGTCCTCAAAAATGTTACCCCGGACGTGGCCCCCCCAACTGAGGCCTCCGCCAAGTCGAAGACGTTGAACACGTGGAGGTGGCCGTCTGGCGATGGGGTTCCATGGTACTCCCAGAATTGGATGATGGTGCATGGAACCCATTGGAACCCCATCGTAGTTGGCTTAGCACTTCAAGCACTTTGGCAATTTGAACAGAGGGAATGCCATATCAATAGATGTGCATAAGAAAACAATTGAAACCTTTTGAAGCGTAGGTTTGGATGAAGTGTGGCTGGGGTTGGGGAAATCATTTCCCGCACATGGCCTTATTGTGGTTCATCCCATGGCGCTGCCAGGTTGAAGAGAAGAAGAAATACATGCGTTTTGGCGAAAGAACGGAACTTCTAAATGGTTCTGATTGGGATGAGAAACCGAAACATATTTCTTGTTCAAGTCATTTTGTGATCGCATTTTGTGATCGTGTAAGGAAGATTATGGAAGATCTTATGTTTTCCTCAGTGTTGGGCGACTTAAAGGAGGGATTATGTCAGATTGGGAAGATGGAGATCGCGCAGCCGGTCCCAAGGCTGATCGCAAAGGAACAGAAGGAGAAGGGCCAAACCACCACCACCAGCACCAAGTGGGTCTGGAAGGAGGCTGGAGCAGAATAAGCACCAGGAAAAGGGGCCGAACTGCCGGATCATCATATTTCCATATTTCCATATTTCCATATGTTTCCCAAATCAATGTAAACCGTGAAAATCGCCAATTTTTGGAGGAATGTCGTCTTTCAACTCCTTATTTGGCAGGGCCTAGTTACGTTATAGGTTTTATACGCGTTCAATGTCATTGCTTTTATCATGGCATCAATTTCTATGCCAGTGAACATCGGCTCATCATGGATACTACATCATTGATGCGAACACTGGCGGGTCCAACCATCCGATGTCATGCGGCCTGCCGCGCCACAATGCAGGAATTGGTGGATCAGAAGGCCTTCGAATTTCATGTGAAGTCGCCCCTCGGAGACACAACCTGCAGATCCTGGTCATGTTTGTTGTATCTGCAGCTCAACAATCAAGTGTTTTGGGCACCATATGTTTCGCTTGATATTGTTCCATGGTAGGCTGGGCAAGTCCAGCCATCTAGAAAATCTAGGTGAGTGTCTCCTGTTGATGCCATAGTTGGTTGTTTATGCCTCTGAAAGCACACATGCAAGCCCTTCAAAAGATATCTCTAAAGTTTCCAAAGACTAAATTTGAAACGATGATTGACCATGATTGTTCTATAGAGTTTCAAGGAAGCCAAGTGCTTCCAGCCGGTTTCAGACACCAAGAGTCTATATTGCCTTTATAGCCGGCCATCTCCAGGAATTAGTTTAAAGATTTTACGTTTAAACCTTACGCTTGATTTCATGGTCAGGAAGTGGTTGGAAAGGAAGGTTATTCTAGGAAAATCTTTTGTTTTTCAGTTGTTCCCAGGTCCAACGCTCCAACTCTGTCTGCCCAGGTCCTTGAGGAGTGACATCACCATCTTCAGCGCCCTGGGTTTCATGGGCATGGCCTGTGCCAAGCTGTTGGTGGGCCCTAGGCTGGACAAGCAGAAGTTGATCTGAGCGCCGTGCCGCCGATCCTGCGAGAAGTGGGGAAAAAAGGGGAGCAGAGGGCTTGGGATGAAAAACATCTAAGGGTTGACGTTGTTGAAGAGCCAAGAATTTCTGATGATTCCAAGTTGTTCCAAGTGTGTTTTTGTGTTTCCGATTGTGGTGGCGATGATGTATCTAACAATATTTAAGCCATTGAAGAGATTTGAGGGGCATTTGCTTGGGATGGTTTGTTTAGCCACAGTTCCCAGAATGGCACTTTCGGAGCCAGCACTGTCCCAGAAAATGGG